ATAATTTAAACATTCTAAAATTTTTTATATTTGTTCTTTGGATTCCAATTTATTTGGAAGACTTTCTATTTTTTTGGATATATGAGTCTATAATTTTATCTCTCTTTTACCTATTGATAATCCAAGAAAGTGTATCTCTTGTTTTTCTATTATAGATTTCTTTTTAGATAGTACAATTCCTTCTTTTTTACATTCGTTAATAAATTGGATTAAATGATTTCTATGTTTTTCTTTATTATTATAACATATTAATATATCATCTATATAAACAATCAGAAATTCATTAAACTTTTTAAATATATTATCCATCTTTCTTTGATATATTTGTGGTGCATTTTATAGACCAAATGACAGAACGAACCATTCATATTTTCCTTGAAGTGTGCTAAATGCAGTATATTGTATACTATCTTCTTCCATTTTTATTTGCCAAAATCATGATTTACAATCAAATTTAGAATAATATTGTTTTCCTCTTGCAAAATTGATTAACATTTTTTTACTTGGTAGAAAGTAACCATCAAATTTAGTATATTTGTTTAATTCTTTATAATTTATGACAATCCTAACTTTTCTTCTAACTTGTTCAGAATGTTTCATAACCATAAAGGCTGGACTACTATGAGATCCGTTACTAGGTCTAATAAGTTTTTGTTCTAGCAAATCTTTTATCTAGTTTTTAAATTCTTGTGTATTTTCTATAGTATACATCATTAGTCTGACTCTTATTATAACATTTTCTGTTAATTCTATTTTAGCTTTTGGGTGATTTGGTTTCCAAAATAATAATGAATTTTCTCCATAAACTTTTTCTATCTGTTCAATTATTTTTTCTATATTTATTTCTATTCCTATTTTTAGAACTTTTTTATACCATATTTTTTTATTTTTTATTTCATTATATATGATTGGTTTTTCTCCTATTTATCACCACGCTGTGCTGGTTGAACTCTATAAAATTTAATTTCTCTAGATATTTTTAATAAGTGTCCACAAGGTGTTTGTAGCATTATTATATAATTATTTTGTTTATAATATTGAAATTGTTGTATAAAATCATTTTCTAATAATATATCACATTCTAATTTATCATATTTATATACTTTATTTATTGTAACTTGTTTACTTCCAAGAATTATATTAACTTTATCAGCACTATTAATTATTTGAGTGCTATTTCCTATAATTCCAGTTATTTTTATATTACTATTATTATTCCATGATTTTATTAAAAAACTTTTAAATATTATTATATCACTTCCTGTATCTATTAAAGCACAAGTTGTTATATTTGTTTCTATAATAGTAATTTGTATATACGCAGCTAATGAAAAACTTATCTGATTATTCATCTAATTCTTTTTACATAATGTAGTTTGTTCATTATGAACAATATATAATCCTTCTCTTTTTATACTATAATCTTCTAATCCATTTAGAAAACTCATTCCTAAAGTATAGGGGGGGTTTATATCCATACTCTTATCTAAGTAACATGGTACTAAAAGATCTATTCATCATATTTTTATTGGTACCTTAACTTCTAAATCTGTAATATGTACCTGTCCATCAAAATTTACATACTTATATGGCTCAGTTTTATGAGTTATTAAACATTTATTTCTAATCGAAGTTATATGACATTCACTAGCCCTGTATCTATTAATATATTTGGTTCATTTATATATTCCATTATAATATTCTCCTTTTATTTTCATATTTCCAGCATTCCTATATAGTTTTACTTCTTTTATTTTGTTGATTTCTTTTAACTGATTTTTATTAGGTATTTTAAAACTTTTTGATCTTTTAATTAATTTTTCATCATTAAATATTATATTCTCCTTCATTGAATTCTGTTATTTCAAATTTATTTTTTGTTATGCTAAATTCATAATTTTTTGGAATTAAACTTATTTGTTTATTTAGTTCTATTATTTTACTAATATCTTTACATTTTTTATGAACTTCAATATATGGTTTATTGGAATAAATATTCTCATAATTAGAATTAGTAAATATATATAAAACTCTATATTCTATATTCATAATTTTATAACCTGGTTGCATGATATCATCTCTATGAAACTTAAAATGTAGTCCTAAAACTTCATTAAAATTTCTATCTTTTAATGATATACAATATTTTGGATAACACGTAAATATAATTTTTTGATATGCTAAATTTCCTTCTATTGTTCCTAAATGACCATCTTTTAAATTTATTATTCTTCTATCATGTAAAGTTATAGTTAAGGGTAAGTCTATCACTTCTCTAAATAGTGATTTAAACATTATTTGTATTCCTACTAAATAAATATATTGAATTTTTTTACTTTATTTTTTATTAATCTTTGTTAATAGTTCTTCAACTGTATTTTTTGTTAAAATATTTAATTTATATTGCCCATAAATTGTTCTTACATCTATGATTTTCTCTATTTTGTGATATGACTGAGCAATAAATCAATCCCAAATTGTAATGACCCGAACCAAGAAGAGATTAGTCCATTTGAAGCAACAAATTAAGTTGTGTTGCTCATGGGCTATATTTTACCTATTTGGCTGGCTAGCTATTTTCTAAGTTCCGCACTATTGTCCACTTATATGGTATTGGACTTTGACCCATTACCTAAAAGCTAACTTACCATAATTTGAGACTTGATCCAATATATTTTCTTGACCCTTCACGTTACTATGAATGAAAAGAAGACTTGGTGTCTCTTTCTCCTTCCCTGCGTGACTTTCTCTCGGTCTTCACTAACTTCATCTTCAGCCATTCTCTTTAGTGCATATATCTTAGTGATATTTCTCCCTTTGTGGTGTTCTTGAAGTGGCAAAAGCTAAGCAACCATAGGTGAAACCTTTGTGGTGTTCTTGGGTCGTTTGCTTTGGTGTTGATTCGATTTCTTGGTGAACTGAGCCTGTATATCTCATTGGTGGTTGAAGAAACTTCTCCCTTACAAGAGGATATCGGTTGACTAGAATTTGGGGGTTAATTGGTTTGCAATGAGCATTTTTTGGTTTTTTCTGTGGAAGATGCCGCCACTGGTGGTGAGAGGAGTTATGGCGGCGATGGCAACAATGTAATCGAAGGTGGCTGGGTGGTAGTGTCTCGTTGGAGGAGTAAAAAGTTTGATTAATCACCCAACTTACCTCTATGTCACATTGTGGTCACTGAACTTTCATTTGTTGCCCAATGGTCACTAAACTTACATATGAACCGCTCCATCCATCACCCAGCGTCCTAGTCATTTGGACTAGTCCGAGGTGGCTGGACGACAGTCTACTTGGCAATGGACGGTATGAAACTCAGCCATGGTGGACGCGACTTCCATTTAAACATATGATTCCTCACTTTTAACAATTGAAATCCCCAAGTCCATTTCTCCCCAACTCCATATCTCCCAAGCCCTAGATCGATTTCTCCCAATTAGCTTTTCCACACTTGGCGATTCCAGATTGCTTCACCTTCCAAGCAACATTGGAAATAGCTTGTCTTCGTCGTCGTCGTCTTTGTAGCAACGCCGTTTTGTCGACACATGGACGCGCATCCAGGTTGATGGTTTTCAAAACGCGGAAGAAGAAAAGATGTAATATCCTGAAATTCCATATTCTGGTTTGAACGGGAATTTGTTAATGGAAGGTTGGCCTTGTTTGAAATTCCGACAGTTGGTAATTGACAGCCGATTCCATTATTTTTTTCCCTTATTGAATTGTCATTGTTATTAAATTTTTTTGAAATTGGAAGTTGAAAATGAAGTGACTTTAATTATATTGTTATTGATTCATTTACTGCCAAAATAATTTTTTTGTGAATTGCCGAGTACTAGTGGTAGTCTTTCTTGTGGGAGAAAAAGTATTTTGTTGAGACTAATGACATGTATATAGTTATATTACTATGTATTGTGGAGACAAATTTCACTAATGACTTTGGTTATAGTTATATTACATTAGTCTGCTAATTACATTATACACCTTCCACTCTTTGATGTGCAATGGCAGGGACAAACAGGGGCATATGTCACAGTTATAAGAAGCCTGGGCACTTCTTGATGATTGCCTAACAAAGAAAAAATGCCCAAAATGTCGTAAGGGCATCGAGTATGTTTGAGATATCCTGAAAAATACGTCAAATGTAGGGCATTTATTCCTTTGCTGTACCAGAGACTGCTGTCATTTTGATTGGAAAGATAAAGAGAAGTTGAGAGGCAAATCAAGTGAAGGCCAGGATCTATAGAGTATGTTTGAGAAATGTGCTCAAATCACATAAAAGAGAAATGTCGAGATAACTGTGAACATTACGTTCCGCAAGGGTAAAGAAGTTGTCGGGGATGAAGGAACCTAAAAGGGAAAATCTCAGTATTTCGGCATAGTATTTTGGTTTGTTTTTAAATTTTCTTCTAGATTTAAGTTGATGTATGTATTTATGTAAGATTTTATGTAGCTTTATTTGTAATGACGTTAACCTCTTACTAAGTTAATAATGTAAGAGCTTACCTAGCTTCATTTAGTAGAGCAGTGTCTGGGGTTTGCTTCTTTCATTTGCAGCAGGGAAAATACCTCCATTTTGCAAATAGAAGTCTAGAAAATGGTATTCTTTGTATGTCACTTTTGTTCCAGTAGCCACCTCTGTATTGTTAGGTGGTTTGCCTGTGTAATTGAAATGGTATTCTTTGCCTGTGCAAACAGAAGTGTGGGAAGTTTGGTTCTTGAGTGGCAATACTGGCAGATATTATTTAAGCTGTAGTATGTAAGAAGAATTGATAATTATTTAGTTTCATCCAAACACGAGCAAAGGAATAATATGATTTGGATGCTAGAGCAAGAGCAAAATCTTGAGTTTTTAAAACAATAATGGAGCAATGATGAAGGAGATATCTTAAGAAAGATATCTATACAAATTCAACCATCCGATAATACAATCCAATAACTATAAACCTCTTTGAAATAATGCATTCTCAATATTATCATACAAACAAACAACACAATCGTGAAAGTAACCAAAATCAAACATTTATTTGAATAACCCCACGTTTTTTGGACAAAAGCTTGACTTGATAAATTAAGAAACCTTCCCAAGTTCTGCCTGTAATGCTACAAGTTGGTTCAAAAGTACTGGACAAAAGGCCATCTAAAAACCAGTTTAACAAACCGATTCAACCACTACAAAACACATTAGAGGACATCTAAAAACCATATTCTAATATCCTTGTTGCAACTCATCGATCAAACTAGTTGTAACCTCATCAATGTCTAATATCCTTGTTTCAACCTCATCAATGTGTTGCAACTCATCGATCGAAGTAGTTGTTGGTTCATATTCTAATATCCTTGTCGGTGATCCTCTTGCAATCGTAGGTGTAGGCATGAATTGAGTTTGAGTTCCTCTTGTGCCAACCAATTTACCTTGCCAAAAAATGGTTAAAAATCGAACTGTAATTATTAATATCGACCAAATACAATTATTAAATGACACGATGAAATGCATCTAGACTTTATCTTACTTGTTCATTTACCAATACATTGCAGTTGTTTTCAATTGGTTGTATTACAACTTCTATCTAATCCGACTGAGAGAAGTCAAACTTTTTACTCCCTATAAAATGCTGTGCAAAAAAAAGGAAGAATCCATGCAAAAAAAAAAAAGTCAGAGGCCATTTTCTTGGATAAAAAACAGGCAATCTAAACGGAATTCTCATTGTAGAAATAGGTATAATTCGAACGAACCAAAAATTTGAAGAATGGTACTTACCCCCACCTTGGTCTCCCTTCATGCGTGTAACTGAAAAAGGCTTCAGGCCTTGTAATCAAATAAAACCATGTCCAAGTCTGAAGAATCGACAAACGGGGATGTGGGTCCATGTGTGGACAGTTCACTAGAGACGAAGAAGCCTCTACGTCAAGTCTGAAGAATCGCCAGCTCGAGAGATAAGAGATCTATCTAGGGCTTGGACCTTGGATTGGGAATTATGGAGTTGGGGGATTTCGATTTTTTCGATGAGATCGCATTTTTAAATGAAAGTCGCGTCCACCATGGCTGAGTTTCACGTCGTCCATTGCCATGTAGACTGCCGTCCAACCACATCAGACTGGTCCAAATGGCTGGGACGCCGAGTGATGGATAGAGCGGCTCATATGTAAGTTCAGTGACTGTTGGGCAGCAAACGAAAGTTCAGTGACCACAATGTGACATAGAGGTAAGTTGGGTGATTAATCAAACTTTTTACTACTCGTTGGAGAAGAAGGAAAGAGAAAGGTTTTGATTGGGGAGTAGGGTGGGGGTTGGGAGTTTATGAGCCTGTTTGTTGGCCATTAATTCTGCCCATTAATGAATTATTTAATCGTTGCAAATAATTTATCTGACAACCCATGTGACTGCCTCAGAACATTTATCTTCACCTTTCCATTTCTTGCCCTTAATCCCCAAAGGAACACGCAACCCCTCTCAACTTAGCGCCGACCGTCAACAGACCCACAGCGGCCGACGACGAACTGAAATTTACGGTGGAATATCTTCAATTGCAACAGCCAGGGGACAATACTTCCATTTTTTCGAAGACCCAGACAGTTTTATTCCACGCAAGCACCACGGAGAACGCCGCCCAATAATTCCAGTCGCCCGTCTGGTTAGCTACGTCCTCTACACCCGAAACGCCGCTGACCAAATGGATCCCGCCCACACACCGGTACGTCGTCGAACTCGAACATTTCTGATTCCGTTTACTTTTTCGTAAAACAACAAATTACCTGAACATTCGAATTCAATTGTTTCTAGTGTATTTCTTAAGCTGTAATTATATGTAGTAATCAACTTCGTTAGATGTTTCTCACTATGATTTTGGGCAAAATTGATATTGTGGCAAGTTGAAATGCACCTGCCTCTTGGTTCGCATCTCAACTGCTATATGCATTCGGCTACCCTTTTTTTCGAACTATTATTTTTGCTGTATACTCTTCTACGAAATCTGTCCCTTGAACTATACTACCATAAATGGAGACTACCATGTTTTATGCAAATTCTGTAATATAGTCTTGGTTACACTCCTGTGCTTGTGCTCTCTGTATTCCTCTTTAAATGATAGCATCGTTCATTCATCTGTGACTGTGTTATTTCTGTTAGCTACACTGTTGAAGTATAGCATTACTAGTGATGATGAAAACAGCGTGTGTAGCTTAGCTATTGTGTTTTCACGATTAAAACATGACATTCCTCACAAAACATTCTGCGGCAGCACATATGCTCAAGGTGAACTATTCCTACAATAATATAATTCCTCTACGAAATGCATCCATTGTTTCTAATTTGAACTTTTTCACAACCTTTTTTACGTGTACTTTCTTGTCAATTTCAAATTCTTAATCTGTAGATACTTTACAGTCTTTCAATTCATATAATGAATATTATGCAATATTCTCATTCGTGATGCCCGGCTTGACTTTGCAGTCTGGACATGGTCCGCTACCCAGCTCGTTCGTTGCACAGGAGCTGGGTCAAGCCTCAGGTGCAAAATCTTATGCTCAGTGGAATGCCTTGGAGACCCAAACATTCATTGCGGCCTGCGAGACCGTCATTGCCAAGGGCCATCGCAACGGTCGTTGTGTTTAGGAAACGAGGTTGGGCCAGCCACTGGGCACAATTGGACAAAGCAACAATTGCGCAACCATTGGGACGCCATGCGTCGAACCTATCGATGTCTCTCCGATTTGTTAAAGGGTAGCGGGGTCGAGTACAACGAATCCACTGGTCGAGTCGTCGCATTAGAGGAATGGTGGAACAGAAAGATAAGGGTAACTATTTCAATTAGCGGCACACATATTTCACGATGTCGAACCAAACTATCCCGTTCATTATTTTCTGGTACATTTGGAATGCCTTTTTTCTTATCTTCCCTATTTTTGTGTGCCTCTTTTCGCAGGAGAATAAAGACTACAAGGAGTTCAAAGACAAGGATGTGAGCGAGATACACATTCGCTATTGTACACTTTTCGACGACAGTTACGATGGGGAGAATTACGCGGTCACGCCGACTAAGTTGTGCCAAACGGGGTTTGGGCTGTTTGAGGACAGTGCGCTCGAAGACACTCGGGATGCAATCCCCGTCGACGAGGAAAGTAGTGGCTCAAGTGATGAAGCTGAGCAAATGGTCGGTGGATCCCGCATAAACGTATCCGACACCACAAGCGGTGGTAAAAGAAAGTCCTTCGGTGCGACGTGACGGGGTAAGAAGAAAAAAACATCTGCACACGAGCTGTCGTTCTCCGTCAATCGAGCCACAAGTGCCGCGGAGAAAGTGGTGGCGAAGCTTAATACCATGATGGGCTCAAATGACAACACCGGCACTGCCTGTATAGAGGAGCTACTGGCGGCTGGACGGCTCAAACGGCGTACACCTCTATACTTTTTCGCCTGTGCTATTTTGGCTAAAAAGCACTATCGAAACATGTTCCCCGTTATGAAAGATGCGGATGAAAAATTTGAACGGATTGAGTGGCTTTTCAATGAGCGGGGCAAGTAATTTCACCTTTCACTGTAGGCGTTACATGTAATTATGTGTTGTCCTAAAAAACTTTTAACTTTTGTACTCAACTGTCTGTACCCTTTTAACCCTACTGTTTGAAAATGTGCTGCGTGCCTTAATGTGCAAATCGCTTTCGCTTGTTCACCACGATCATTTCATCATGTTAATATTTTACACGTCCAACGAGGCAATTGTAGGTCGAACTGGATGTAACATAATATTTTTCACGATCTGTGGTTGCAAAGTTACCACGTACGCACGCGAAAATTTTGGACGTTAAAAAAGCTGTTGACACTTAAAACTTGTGGAAATTGAAAAACTGTCACGAAAAGTTAGGGAAAAAAGATTTGTTCAGAACAAAAATATTTTCTACAAAAATGCACGTTTCACGAATAAATATTCTTTGCAGGTGCACCATTATTAGCACACTTCCTACAAGATGACAGCTATAGTAAACTATTGCACAGAATCTCGTGAATATTTTTTGTAAGTGCACTATTATTGATACAGTGCGTACAAATTGACAGCTACAGTACACCATTGCACAGAATGTACTCCCTGTCACTCCCAATTTCTATAAAAAGCCATGCACTGAGTAGAAAAGAAAAAAATGTGGAGCTGTGAGGGTGTGTGACGAAATTGCGTTCCACACAACTTCAGAACTCGCTTTTGTTGTGTAATTTTAGTAATTTATCATGTTTTGCATAACAAATGACGTCAACTTCAACTGCATCCTGGGGTCCGACTCAGATGACGAATGCGATGACGACCAGTTTCTCTACAACTTGGCGATCGATGCAGCCGCTTGGCTTTCATACTGCAGAATCGCCGGCGATGACGCAAGAAAATATCACTACAGGCAACAGTGTCGTATACGACATTTTCCTTTCTCAAGGAACGGTCACATGTTTATGATGGAGGCAATGGGCGAGAATAGTAAGATGTGCTTTCAAGAATTCAGTATGTATCCTGCAATGCTTCGACATTTCGTTCATGTGTTGCGCGACGAGCATGGGCTACGTATCAACCAGCATGTTAACATCTACGAGCAAGTTGGCATGTTCTTATGCATATTAGCGCACGGGAAGGGATATCGACAGGTGACAACAATTTTCAACCATTCATTGGAAACTGTATGTCACTATGTTAAAGAGGTTCTACGTGCGATCGTTGCGCTTTCAACGCGCCTGATTCGTCTCAGTGAGAACTACAACGACGGTGTCGAGCCACATAGGCTAGATTTGAGCAAGCATCCATTGTTTGAAGATTGCATCGGAGCTATTGACGGAACGCATGTAAAAGCTATGCTACCGCGATATGAGCGTGTAAACTTCATAGGGCGAAAAGGTGTGCCGACACAGAATGTGTTAGCTGCTTGTGACTTTAATTTATTCTTCACATTCGTGCTTGCAGGGTATTCTGGCAATACACATGATGCGTGCATGCTTGCACGTGCTATCCATGATTCGAAAATACATTTCCCATTACCGGCCCTGGGAAAGTACTATTTAGTTGATTCCGGGTTTGCTCATCGGCCTAGGTATATGGCCCCCTACAAAGGGTCTGACATACTTTACCATTTCCAACAGTTTCGAGACGAGAGAACGGGAAGTCATCGTAGATTTCGAAATACGCGAGAGAAGTTTAACTTCAGGCACTCGTCCTGCAGAAATGTCATTGAACGTGCATTCGGTGTGTGGAAAGAAAGATGGAAGATCTTGGATCGCATGCCCAGATACCCCTTCCGAACGCAAATAGCCATTGTAGTTGCGACGATGGGAATACATAATTTCATGAGGCGTTCAGGAGTGGTGGACGCTGCGTTTACGAGAGCGAAGGTGGATGAAGATGCAGCTGAGGTGGAGCTTCCCAACGTAGAAGATGAAATACAGGCCGAAATACATGCATCGAAAATACAACGAAGTGAGTGGGACAGACTTCAAGATTATATGGCGCAGCAGCCATGATGCCAATATGTTTCTAAAATATTCTAAAGCCTTGCATGTACGTCTTATGAAACTGTTTGCTTTCCTGGTTGTAAAAGTGCAATGCAGTAGGGGCCAATTATTGACCATCTTTCACGAAAATTATTGACCGTCTTTCACGAAAATATCATAGGTCAAAGTATTTCCCTTTTTTAATGTGTTTACCGTATGCATTTCCTCGGTACAATGAACTATAATTTTTTTCCCCGAACCTACACAGTTGTACAGTGTTTCGTACGAATAATTATGCACTTGAAGTCGTATTTTTCCTTCATTTCGAACACACCCTTCACTTTACTCTTTGCGAAAAAAATGTGAACCGTGCACTACCCTTTTTTTGTACGTAGCGCTTCGTAATAGAATTAAAATGCTTCTATTCGTAGACACTCGCGAGAGTAGTTGATACAATAAAATGTTTCCAAATTTAACTTTTTTAATTTTCCGAAGTTACTTTTTTTGAAAACATAACTCGTTTTCGAACAAAACATTTTATTATTTACAACGAACATATAAGCTGAAATAAGTGTACAACTGAATTTCAAGATGTTCTTTATCATTTTTAATTTTCGACATTTCTTTGGAAAAATTCGATAATTAAAGTGAAGTGAACATCACGGTCCGCATGCATGTTAGGTTCTCGTGATGTTACAATTGCTGTCGAATTTTTGTGACAATTTTTTACAGCAATACGGTGGGCAACGACGGAGGTGGAATTATAAAACATTGGCCCATTTCATGTAAAAGAATTGAAACACGTTTGGTGGGGGTGTGTTATGAATTCTTGGGAAATGTGTAACAAATCAAATTTTTTGAGTTTTCAAGATGTGGAAGCTACCAACTTGCTGAATGTAGGACAAAGGGTAAAGTTGAAAATTTAGGATTGTTCAATTCAAATCAAATGATAAAATAATGGTGTCGGTCCCACATTGATTTTATGGAAAAAATGCATTTTAGATAAAAATGGGGACCAAACGGGGGCTATATATTATTTAGTTGTATATTTATTTTTTGGTTTTTTATTTTAATTAAATAACTTATTTTAATAAAAAAATGTAAAGTACTATTTTGCCCTTTCTAATTTGGTCAAAATTGATCCAATTTTGACTTTCTTGATCAACTATTAGTAAATTGGACGGTTTTCGTCCATTTGGACCCCAATTGCATATTTTTGAAAGATTAGGGACATTTGCTGGCACAAATTGAAGGTTATGACAAAGTTTGTAAAAATTGAAAAGGTTAGGAATCGCTTTCGCAATTTTTCTTCTAAATAATGTAAACAAATGAAAAAGAGGAAAGTCCGTATTGTGTCATTTTCATGTCTTTAGATGTATTTCTTCGTATTTCTTGTTTAAGCCATTCCTTTTTTTTTTTTTTTTTTTTGGCAAAAATGCATTTTAGAATAGTGCTTTGTTGAAAAATGTGTGATTAAAAAGTAAAAAATTAAATAAATTTAAATTTGCTTGTAAAATTATTTTATAGAAGAATGTGTGGTTGAAAATAATTTTGAGAGAATTAATTTTTAGAGAAATAAGGCCAAACATAATAGGGAAAATTGCAGCCGAAGTACCAAATCTTTCGTTTATTGGCAGATTTTGCCCAAATCTTCATTTTGCACCAGCGAATGTCCCAAACCTTTCATAAATATGCAGTCGAAGTCCAGATGGATGGAAACCATCCATTTGACCAAGAAAAGCAAATGTTGACCTATTTTGACTAAATTGGAAATGATAAAATGGTAACTTGATAATTACTATATTAAATAAATTGAAAAAAAATCAAAAAATAAAAAGTCTAAGAAAAAAATTAAAAAAAGGGTTGTCTTCTTCAACCACCTCACCCCACCCCATCCCATCCCATCCCATCCCATCCCGAACCACCGTCCCGAAAATGAACCTGTTATCCAAACCATCGACGACTCCCACATGGCTTTACCACCAACCTACTTCCGACATTACTCCTCACCTGAATCCCAAATCTCGACGCCACCAACCCACTTCCGACTTTCCCACCAACCCTAAACCCACTTCCGGCATTATAAGAAAAACACCAGATTTGCCAAATTTTATACTATTTTAATAACAACCGATTCTCAAGACTTGAAGCCCAACAAGAACCTATTGTTCAAATTTATCAAAACCCAACCGAAAATGAAGATCTATGAGTTAATCTCTCACCATGCACGGCAGAAGATTTTGATTAAAAGGGAAAAAATCAGAATAAATAAGAGGGAAAATTGGACAAGAATCGGGCTTTTGGGTGAGATGGAGGTGGAGGTGGAAGCGAGAGTGGAGGTGTGGTGTTGAGTTGGAGAAAGAAGGTTGGAGTGGGGGATGGTGGTGGCCGGCACCACTGACGATGGCCTGTTGCAATTTGGATGGGGGGGTGGGAAGAAGATGATGCCCACATTTTCTTTTTTTCATTTTATTTATTTATTTATTTATGGTTTATCTATTTAACTTATTTAATTAATGGGATAATATGCAAGTTACTATTTTGCCCTTACTAATATGGTCAAAATTGGGGTCAAAGTCAGTTCTTTGGTCAATTAACGATGAAATGGATGGATTCCATCCATCTGGACTTCGGCTGCATATTTAAGAAAGGTTTGGGACCTTCGCTGGTACAAAATGAAGGTTTGAGCAAAGTCTGCTAATAAACGAAAGGTTTGGTATCCTTGCTGCAATTTTCCCAACATAATAATTTGAACGAATGCTACTTGCACAGCCCTTTTCATGTGCATTCGTATCATACCGAAAACCAAAAAGGGTAGAAAGAGAGTGCTAGTGCACTTTGTTAAATTGCTTTCTGACCACAGTAGTGTGATTAAGAATTAGTTGGACCTCTCATAATTTTGTCCATTATAGAGTAATGATGTGAGGCACAACTTTGTACCTATGTTGGAGTTGGGCTTTTGGAACATTATTTGGGGAAGTTGAGCTACATATTATTTATTCGAGAACGTAATAATGGATTGCAATATAGGTTGATATTGAGCACAATTTATCTTGCATATCACTCATTAGATGAGTAGCAATTTCAAGGCTTTGCTTTTCTAACCAACGTCCTATCGATCTAGGAGATTGATGACATGGGACGAACTAGAGAATAAAAGGCATTGACACGAGATTATAAATGTTGCAAGATGCACAACAAGGGTTTATAAATTCTACATGGTGGACAAAGGTTCATCTTTCCTGCTAACATTCGGTAATTATTTTGCGGTGGTTAATCTCAATTCTTCTTGAATGAATCAACTCAATGACTTTGTGATGGTTTTTTGAAAAGTCTAAAGTTGCTTTTGCGATTAAGAAATAACTTTTAAATATGTTTGTATAATTTTTTGGAAGTACTTTCTCTGATTAAAAGAGTTTTTAAAGGAAGTCTGTCTAAAATAGTTTTCCAAAAAACTCCTTTACTTGTAGCAGCAAAAAACTAAAGCCATATCAAATGGGCTTTTATAAGTTGCAATAATTAGAACTGTTTCTTTGCACTTGACTCAAAATACAGGGATGTTCGACTCATAACATGTAGAAGCAAAAGTCATTGCAGCTTATGCATTTTGTTAACCATGGGTTGTGAGAGAACATTGTTACACTAAGAATATTTTCAATGCAGTATACGAATTGCTATTTAGTTGGACAGAGATAAAAAAAAGGCTTTATAAAGGTTCCCAAGGTTGGGGTAGTTTCGTAAGGAGCTAGAAACGTCGAGCACATCAAGCTAAATATCGAGTTTACGGGTGATTGATTGTGACCTTATTGGGTAAATCGGGCCTCAGGTTGATATGGACTTTGCAGACCAGGCCATGTCAAACCTCTAATGGGCATATCGGTCCATGAAAATTTTAACCCGAACCAGGCAGAAACATCCAGGCCCTTTCACGTCTACCCGCTGTACTGCGGCCTGCACCGTTCCATTTCCATTTCTGATCCCCCTTGTCTAGAAGCGTTCCTTAAAAATTACTTAAGGATTCAGCTTGCCCCTTCCAACTCTCTACACAATTCCCAGAATCCCAATCCAAAATGTTACGCAGGTAAACCCACGATTCATAAACGCGTACATGTATAGGCTGTGGCAAATGTTCGTTTGACTAAGTTATTCCTTCGAGGGTTTTTTTCCCTTCAATTTTATGAATAATCAATTTTGCAGGCCCATTTTACAGCTTGCGAGCCGTAGTTCAGTTCAAAGGGTTCCATTACAGATTACTACTCAGGCATGTTATTTATTTTTTTAATTTATTTGAGTAAACAATGTTATGGAATCTGTGAATTCAAGAGATTCGTGATCTTCAGAATATATTAATTTCTTACCATTGCTTCAGATGCATTTGACAATTTGACAATTCGTATTGAGAAAGAATTGAAAAGCATTCTGTCTTTACTACTTAGTGCACTGCAGATGCTAATCTTAAATATCTACCTAAGGTCTTACTGGGTAGAAGAGGTGGAAAAATGAAAGAATACGTACATTGGTTAAGGTGACTTTTATTGGTGGCATCATCTCATTATTCAGCTACATTGTTATCACTATTATACCCTTTTACGGGGTGGGGGATGTCTGCATGTGAAAAGAGGAAATAAAAAACTGATCGAATATTTCAGAAGTAGTTTACAAGTTTTATGCATTTTCTCATTTTTCTGGTCTTCATTTTTCATTTTGGCTGGTGACTTCTTTATTCTTTTACTTGTTTTCTGTCATTGTTGGTAACTTCCTTTCTATTTGCCTTCATTTAGAAGTGTGGTTGAAGTTACCCAATTATTGAAGAAAACACATCCAAGTTCTTCCGAAACTTAATGATACCTTTGCACCCTAAGCTTTTCAAGTGGAACTGGACATCTCACGTAAAAAGTAATGAAGCCTTCTCTATCCAACCAAATAATGGTAGATTTTGGCAAACATTTATTATGCTACCCAGGGACGGAGCTGATGGAGACCCAACCATCTCTCCCAAAAGTTCAGGCTTGAGAGTGATTGAATCCCACAACTATTAGACCCTAAGAATACCCCATGGTCCCAAATCCGATGTTCACGGTGCCCACTCGACCAGCCCTTCTTTGGTTGCTAGTATTCGGCACTTCACTTGGGTCGTCCCTTCCGGGATTTGAACCTATGACGTAGGTCTTCTTTGATACCAATTGATGAGGATCCAACCATCTCTCCCAAAAGCTCAGACTTGAGGGTAATTGAATCCCATAACTATTAGACCCTAACAAGAGCAAGCACCTAGCAAGCCGGTGCGGCCGCCCGTGCTGGCTTCTTTTCTAGAGAAAAATTTACATATAAATGAAGTGTTAAAGTTAAATATGTTTAATTCTACTCGTTCTACAGCAAAGTGGTTGTAGCTTAAATGGTAGCGCCCTTGTTTCACAAATGAGAGGCACCCGGTTCGATTCCTCTCACCTCCACTTCGTCTTTTAAATTTTTTGCATAATAAATAGTTATTAAATAACTCTATATAATATAATGTTCATTTACCTGAATAGAAATGCTGTAGCTCATATTTTAAATTGTTAGTTTTGAATGTGAGAGGCATGGAGTTCGATTCCCCTAACCTCCACTTCTTCTTTTAATTTTTAACACAATAAATAATAACTAAACAATTCTATATTATTAGTTTTTGTTTCTAAAATAATTTCTTTAAGAAATTTGTCAACTCAAATTATTATTTCATAATATATATTATTGTTAGGTTTTATCAATTTATTTTGTAAAATTCAAATTTGGAGAATTTAAGTATTGATCTTTATTCTTTTAAGAGTTTGAAAAACACTTTTCTTTTTGGGGTAAAAAATAGCTCTAAAAATCACCATTTAAAAAATTTATTGACTCAAATTATTGCTTTATAATATATACTTTTATTGTTAGATTTTATCAATTTAAAATTAAAATTTGGACAATTTAAATACTAATCTTAATTCTTTTAAGTGTTCGAAAATCACTTTTCTTTTTGGAGGTAAAAAATAGCTCTAGAATTCACAGTTTTAAAATTTTTGGATAGGCTTCGCCTAAACTCAGAACTTGTATTTATCATTTAATCACACTTTTCATATAAACTCATTTTGTCTCGTTTAAGTTCATAAAAATTTGAAACTTGATCATACGTATATGATTCAAAAAATGTATTTTTATTCTTTATTATTTTGGGTTGTATTGGATTATATTTTCATATGTATATGATTTTTTATATTTTACTGCATTTATATTTTGATTGAAGATTTTTTAATATAAATTAATTAAATATTAATAAACAATCTCGCTATATTGGACGCTCGCTCAATGGCTGCCCGACGCTCCGCCTTAGCTCACTTGAGTGGTTGGATCCGTCCCTAGTACTACCCCCATCAATCGCAAGTTTTCATGATTTATCCTTACAAAAAATTTAAGTATGGAAATGGTTGTGAACTTCTACTCTTCAGAGTGGAAGAGTGGACAAGACACATCTTACGACAGAGATAACCTCTCCTTCATCCTCAAATGCCTCAATAAACTCTTAGTCGCAATATAAATGCTTTATAGAACAAGGAAACACTCATCAAGTATCATCTCCTTGGACTGGATTATCAAGGTCATGTTCTGGTGGAAGAGTATGTTGCGAATACTTAGAAGCCATATATCCTCCAGCCTGATAGTGGTGATACACATTTTAGGAAGCAAATGACCCAGAGATGGAGGAAGAAGGCATTTAATAGAGTTGGGATTATTAGTGATTGGGCAATCAGCATTTTGTTTACTGTATGTATGTCCTAGAAATAATTTAACTGGTGGACTGAGATCCATCACTAGACCTAGAGAAAAGACGGGGGCAAGAACTGTTGAGAATTGAAAAAAGTTAATTGCTTGTCTTTGTAAAAGCATAGGTATTTTTCAATTTCTGGTCCTTATGGTAAGCTATCTACAACGACTCAAGTGAATGTAAAGTAACATCAAAAGTAAACTTAGTTTTTAGATCTTTTGTAAATCTGGAAACAGTTACACAAGGAGCATTATGAATGGTGCAATCGAGAGAGATATTCGTAGTGAAAGTACCTTGCCTGTGATTCAGGAATTTATTGAACAATTTGATGTAGAACAATAATGAGAAGAGAATGGGTGAGAAGAAAGCAAAATGAAGAAATGACGAATCGCAAATCTGGGAAGAGAGTTAGAAAATAGTTTGATGATATCACTGAATGTCACCGATCAGCTGTCTGAACTATTCAACAAGACTAGTCCTATATATATAGATGTTCCTAACAAGAATGAGAACTTAGTAAAATATTAAATTGGATACTTTCCTTACTTAAAAACTAATAATTATTGCAAGAAATTCAAATTATATCTAGTTTCTTATTAGGCCTTAAATAAATTAGCAATGTTGAACTGTAATCTTCAACATTAGGGATGCTATGTCAACTGTTAGGAATATAATTTCCTATCTTAGTAATGCAAGCTTCATCACTAACTTTTACAGGAAGATTGATAGTATTTCTCTGTCTCTGCTCTACAGTTTGATTATGGTTTCACCATGTCAAATATTTGAATTATGTGGTTTATCATTAAATAAAAGAAAATGTCATTCAAAATCTTCGCTAAAATTTGAGTGTGTTATCACATGCCCCATATCACATATATATTGTACCATGTTTTACCCTAATGGTGAATAATGCTCCATTTTCCTTTCCATTAGCTGTGGCATACTGGCATCGACATATTTGGGGATGTACTCATAACATGTTTTGGTTGATTGAAAGACTTGCCTTTTATTCTTCTGATGTTCTTATAATTTACAGGTGCCTTCACATCTTTCTTCCAGAAGGGCATTCTCAGATACTCAGAATAATGAACCTCATCAGCGTAATCCGTCTGGCAATGCTTCCGAGTCTCAGAGTTCTCTACCAAAAATTATTGGTGGAAGTCTTGCATTGGGTTCTGTTCTCATGGTAGCTAACTATTATGGTGTTCTTGATAGATATCTTGGTAAAGAGCAGCAACAACCCATCAAGTATGATGATGATCAGAATGGAGATAAGAACACACAGGAATTACCAGAGCAAAGTACATCACTACAAGATAGTGAATTGAAAAAAACAATTTCAGCGACAAGCTCGCAAGAGTCAGATTCATCAATATTTAATGCAGACAATGCGAATAAAAACATTGAAACACATTCAAAACTGAGTCCGGCAGAACATTCTATCACAACTGAAGAGGATAGCAAATTTCAAGCAAAAGATACAGTAGAACCGTTGCAAGAAAATATTGAACGTGTTCAAGAGGAAGACTTGGCCAGTTCTCCTCCAATCAGCATGTCATCTGATGATGTAACTAATAGACCAACAGAAGAAAGTTTTGAAATGAAGAGCGCAGAGGTAAAACCCGATGTGGAGCAGGATAAGGCAATTGAAATCACTCCAACACTTACGTTAACTGACAAACTTTCTTCAGAAAATGATATCAAATCCATATCTGGAGAGCAAATGACCTCTCAAGACATGCGTGAGGTACATGATGACAATTCTAAGGTTGGTTATATTTCACTTACTCCAATTATAGTTTCCATTCTTCTAGGCAAACCATTCACTGTTTCTTGAGAAGCCACTCTTTATAGGTTGCTCTGGGTGATGAAACAAGAAAGCCGAGTTCTCTCCTTGATGATTACTATTTAGGGAATAAAGATGCAGAATCCTCTACAGCTTCCTCCAATGAAAATAAGGTTGGTTTTGCGATAGACGAAGTTGTTTCTGAGAGGAAGAACTTGTATCCTGACATTTGCTTTTATAACCTAAATCTAATTTTTTACGAAGGAAAATGAGGTCTCTCATGTCATCTTTCAAATTTTATTTTTGTATCAAAGAATGTAGCTGCAGCAATAGAGGATGTACCTGACGGTTACATATCAAAGGATGGGAAATTGGTTCTTGACTTCTTACAAGCCATACATGCTGCTGAGAGAAGGCAAGCTGAGTTAGATGCTCGTTCTTTTGCTGAAGAGAAGAGAGCGTTGAAGGTCAGGCGGAAACTTTATATATATTTTCTGTTTATTAATGCAAGCAAAAAGGTTAGAGAGATTGAATAACCACATCAAGAAAATCCAGCTTTTAGATAGTATCATGCATGCTCAATATCTGTATATTTACAACACTGTGAACTGAACTTATGGACTGTATATTTTATTTCCTACTAACATGTGTGTTTGCTTGGCTAATTCAGGGAAAGTACGAAAAAGAACTCAAGGATACAAGGGCCAGGGAACTCTTTTATGCTGAGAGGGAAGCCATTCTGGATAAGGTTTTAAAGTTTTCCCCCTTTAGCATGTTATTTTTCATGTATATGATAAATATAAATGGCGACCTTATTTAGCACTATCAATCTTAACGGAGGTAATTACAATTGTTACCTTATATTATGTCTCCCCTGCCTCGCACAAGTAGGATATGGTTTGTTAAAGATAGTTGAGGTAACGCTACAATAGATGTGTGCTTCTTCACGAGTATATTTTTACCATTTTCAGTTCTAATATTATGTCTTCTGATTTTGCATTTACAATGATAGATGTCTTCTTTTTACCTTTAATTCTCCTTCCAATCACTTAGACAGTCTTCGCTTGAAATCTCAGGAATTAAACAAAGAAAGATTGAAAGCAGCTGCTGCTCTCAAATCACTTCAAGAAAAATTAGAAGAAAAGCTCAAAACAGAACTTGAACAAAAGGTATCATTACTATACTTGATTCAATATTTTTCTATGGCAGTTGTTTTGACTATGTTGAATTGCTGGTTCTATTTCTGAAGTTCAAATGTGCAGGAAACTGAAGCAGAATTAAAGCTGCAGCAAATGCAGGAGCTAGCTAAAGCTGAATTGGCTGCTGCAATTGCAAGTGAGAAGACTTCCCAGATTGAAAAAATGGCAGAAGCTAATCTTAATGTATGATACCTGCTAATATTTATTTTACATTTAAAGGCAACTATTTTAAGATTTCTAGTCCAGAAGTTTACTTGTTCTCTGTGTCAATTGAAATGAAAATTTAGAAAGTAGATTTGGTCCTGCAGAAACATGCGGAATGAAGAATTTTCCTAGTAAAAACAGAAAAAAGAAGCTTTGAAACTTTTAGACCAATACAGTTCTATAGAAAACCATTGGTTACGTAAACCCTCACTCCATGTTACAAACTGATCATACTACTGCTTATAGTATTAGATGCCAATCTTTAATTCTACCAAATTTGTAAGCCTATTGTCACAGGAGAGGTAGTGTATCACAAGAATAAAATCTACCAAATTTGGGAGCCTACAGGGTGTCATAAGAGAGTGTACTCGCAAGAATAAAATACTTTTGTGGAAGTTCAAATACAAAGGTTTAAATATGTTATAGGGTTCTGAACTATGTAATTTTCGTACTTCCAATTTTATGTGATTTATAATGTGGTTTTACCAGAAATTACCCTCTTTCTTTAATTCACAGTGCTACACATTCCAATTTCGCTCTATGTGCTGATTTTGGTTGCTAGAGGTTGTTCCGCAAGTTACATTGGATAGTTTGCTGTGGGAAGGAATAGCTTTTAAGAAAAAAAATGATCTCATTGTGAACTTCATTGAAAAATAATTTCAATGGGATAAGGAAACAGCTTCTCCTTCTTCTTATTATTTTTTTTCGTTTTCATCTATTCTCATTTTAGGATGATGTCTGCCCCTATTGATTTGTTTTTCCTCTTTTCCAAATATTTTGTTTGATCATATTTGAAAAAGAACGTGTTGGTTTTTGTAAATGATTTAGCTCATGAGGGGAAAGCAATCTTAAAGTTTTTTCGATATCATACTATCGTTAGATTGGTCTATATAGCGCATTTAATGTCATTTTATCGTGACTCATTGCAGATAGATGCCTTGTGCATGGCATTTTATGCACGCTCGGAGGAAGCTCGCCAGAGTCATTCTATTCACAAGCTTGCCTTGGTAATATCTTCCCTTGCAATATTGCTTCCATTAACTGCTTCTCGAAGTGGGAATCAATTTTAAAACTTCTATAATTCAATTTGATCCCACTTTAATATATAAATATAATATGCATTATCAACATGATTGAGAATGGACCCTGCTTGGTGCAGTTGCCTGGGAGTTTATTAATCATTATGTGGTTCTTAATTAAAGCCTGAAGGAAGTTGAAAAGTAGTTTCTCTTTTTTCATAGTTCCAATGCATTTTTACCCTGTTTCCATCTACCTCCCACTGGCTTCCATTGCTTGTATTGTAGGAAACATGCTTCCAATTAGCGAACCTCAATGTTATTGGCAAAGTAAACTTGTCCTTTTATGTACATTTATAAGGCACGTCTCAGTTGATTTTTCATAGTTTCTGACTGTTCCGAAGTTTCCTACTCTCCATCTTGTGGAGTACAGCATGCTCATTTTATCCTCTCTCAAACAATCTTCGGTTTCATGCCCATCAGACGAGAATTTGTTATTTTTGTGCAACTAAAATGCATATTCATTTACGAAAACTGCTTAACCTATTAGTTGGTAGACTTTCTTTCAAGTGTTGGGACAACTGCATTCTTAAAGGAGATAAGATTTCACAAGGGTCCGGTGATAGGCAGCTGTGCGGGTGTGATCGTTTAACCATCTTTTTCCATAATTAAGTTATGTCTACACATGCCTGCAACCCACTACCTGAAACAAGAAGAAGAAGCAAAGCATTATGTCCAATAAACGTGGGGTTGCTTCCATGAATCCTTTTTCGTAACTATATTCTTTTAAGAACTACATTACTGAAAAGTCCAAAGGAATCAATATGTTGGAACTTCAGAACCACGTTAAGTCACAACACCAGGTCCCAATCAAAGTCGGGAAAATGGAAAAGAGACACCTTCCTTGTGTGGAACTTAATTGTTTAAGTGACAAATTTCTGTGAAGGAATTATTATTAAGAAAATCTCTGTGGTATGGTTAGGAAGTTCTTGGTGATATTATGCTTAAGAGCTCTAAATAAAATAAAGCTATCCAAAGGTTGTTGGAGTGGGAACAATTTTATAATACAGTTGAATCACTGTATCTTGAGATGTGATAAATTAATTTATAAATCTTGTTTTGAAAATGCTGAATATATGTTTTCATCAAATGTGTGAACAAATCTGTTTGGCAGAGAATTTATCTTTTAATTTTTCTGTGCCTTCCAGGGAGCACTTGCATTAGAAGATGCGCTGTCCAAAGGGTTGCCAATTCAGAGAGAAATAGAAGTGCTCCACTCTTACCTTGAAGGCATCGACAAAGACTCTCTTTTGGATCTTGTTCTATCTTCCCTTCCTGAAGACACCTGTAAATATGGGACTGATACAGTGTCCCAGTTGAATCATAAGGCAAGTTTTGTTTATGCATATGTTATGAAAAGGTCATCGAGCCATAACATTTTCCGTCAACTTTTTTACCTTCTCTTTACTTCTCAGGGTTCTTGCAATTAACATGACTTGTTAGAATATCATTAAGCTGTTAAATCTTTGTAATTCCTAAAGCCATGATATGTGACCAATTTGTTCAATGAAATTATTTTGTTTACTTGATCGTTGTTCAAAGTTTTGATACATTTTTGAATAGCCTAAATGATTCTTTTTTTAGAGGATATGCAGAGGAAAATGAAGGGTCGTTTCGAAACTATGCCTCCATTTGGCAAAATTTATATATCAACCACACATTCCAATGGACCCACTACTTATCACCGCTCATTTCTATCTATTTGTAAATTCTTCTTGTGAAGTGGACTGAACAATTATTAACATTTTCTAGTTTTACTTTCTTCGAAATTTGTTAGTGTTAGCTCTTGGTCAGTACAAGAGAGGGGCGTAAATCATTCTCATTTTCTTGTCACTGTGCTTCCATTTGCCTGCTATGAGAAAGGATGATGACAAGATATATGGTTTATACATAAATCATGAAATAGCTGATATAGATTGTCTGATTTTCGGGTGTTTGGTGATTAGATATTTCTATTTTCTTGACCAGTTTTGGTGACTTCCTCTACTTGTATTGCTATTTAACAATGTTGTGACTGCAAACTTAGCCGAATAAGTTACCTAGCAACAACAATGATGTAGGAAAATTCCATGGGATATAGAACAAGTCCATCGGTCTTGGGGTATGGCATTGTCTTTTCCAACTCCCCGCCACCCCCAATAAGTGATGGGATGATGATTTTAGCTGACACTGACTTTTTCCCCCTTCTTTTGGTGGGTGTGTGGGTTGAGTGTTCTTTAAAGCTTTTGTCAGTTGGTAACTTTATTTAGATTATTAAACATACATATCAAGATGTATATATTAATCTTCTATCATCACTATTAGATTAAACCTGTTCGGTAAAAGCATGAAACTTGAAATAATTTTACGTCTGACTTTGTTAATTTTACAGTTTGATGGATTGAAGGGAACACTCCGGCACTTTAGCCTTATTCCACAAGGTGGTGGCGGTATATTGTCACATTCATTAGCTCATGTTGCTTCTTGGTTGAAGGTGTGTTTTTCTGTTTGACAGTCAACATCTAGAACATGGATTTATTGGTTGAACATACCGTACTGATCTTTATTTATAAGTTCAGGTTAAGGATGTTGACGAATCTGGTGATGGAATTGAATCTCTCATAAATAGAGTCGAGAGCCTCTTAGCTGAAGGGAAACTTTGTGAAGCTGCAGATGCTCTTGAGAATGGTCTTAAAGGCAGCCAGGCAGCAAACATTGTTGACGACTGGGTTAGGCAAGCTAGGGACAGAGCAATCACCGAACAAGCTTTAATGGTCCTGCAATCTTATGCGACTTCTATTAGCTTAACATAATTTCTAGGCCCATACATTCATAGCGAGTTTATTTTCCTCATTTTTTTCCAAGGATTATGCAAACCTTAACGGGATACTTTTCCTGCCTAAGGAGTTTCTGTAAGTGATTGCAGCATTTTTCTTCTGTTGCAATACAGGCTGATCGAACGTGGCCTTTAAATAAAAACATGATGTATGGTTATTGTAGAGCAATTGCAGTTTACAGATGCATTGTAGACAATTATTTGAACGTCTTCGCCGTAGAGCAACCTGTTACTGTGTTTTTGCCTTGGGAAGTCGGGTTTAGCGTAAAATGGAGAGGCATTTTCGTACTTTGCTGAACTTGCATTATTCCTGTAGTAAAATGCGGTTGGAAGCATATTTGCCAGTTTTTATTCGAAAATGCATAATTTCCGTAAGGGATGTAGAAAATGTAGAGTTTGAAAGTCAAGAAACATGCCTTCTAACTAACAAAACCACCAGCCTCCTTTTTCAGGGAATTGTATTGTATAATAGTATGTTATTATATCAGTTGATTAGAAAGCGACGTGATGATTCGAATCTTCATCTTGTTTGACAGTTACATTTCAACTTCCATGGGAGTAGTGAGCTGGCCTGGCCTGGCCTTTCATGTTACCACAAGCAACAGCTTCCTAGCTGGTATTTGGAATGAATCCCCAATCATTGTTTTATGTCATATGCATCCTACTTTTGTTTTCTTCTAAATAATCTCACGACTACTAGTAGCATGGTCGTCTATGGGAGACAAGCTCTAATGTGTCGTCAATGGTGAGTCCGTATGTGTCCCCTTCTTTCCCAATGTTGAGATTTTTTCTTAGGTAACCGTTTGATTTTGAAAAATGATTGGAGCTAAGGATGGTCACCTTGTTTCGCTAAATTAGTAAAGATATTTTTTCGCATAGGAGGTTTGAGTAATAACGGCTTAACTCATCACTCACGTTTCAATGAATCTCGTAGAGCTTCGACTAGTGAGCTTTTTATCCACTACAAATGTAATGGGAGCTCTTCATCCATGCAATTCGAAGCAAAGAGCTCGTGTTGGTGAGTTTGTGGAGCTATGTAAGTCACTTGACATAAGATGATTGATAACTCAAATTACAACCAGGTTATGGATGACCAACTTATAATACAATAAATGGATAAGAAAGAAATCTGGTGCAATTGCCATATACTTTCTAGGTTAAATAATCATCTTATAAATCACAAAAAAATAATTTGTCACATGGGGCATTTTTTGGATAAAGTTAAAAGATTCACATGTTAAGTAAATTTTGAAAATAAATATTCTTCCTAGATTAAATTAAATTTATTTATTTATTTTAAAGTTAGAATTTTGTTTCCAGAGAAAACTCAGAACCCGTTCGATTTGTGTTTTATTTTCAATTTTGAGTTCATTTTAAGTTTTCTATTTGGACGATATGTTTTAGGATTGTTGAAAATGTTTTTGGTTTGCTATTTTGAAAAATTATTTTTTAAAGCAAAAATCTAAAAAACACGTGGTTTCAAATTTTGAAAATTAATTTGATGACATTTTATTCTATTAATTTCTCATTCCGTAAAATATAATAATTTTATGTTAATATATTATCAAGTAATAAATATATTTTAAAGTTGGTGAATCTCAGATCTATTTTAGGATTGTTTGAAAAATAATTAAAAAATAAAATAAAATATATGTGGTTTCAAATTTTGAAAAATTGTTTTATTACATTTTTATTCCATTATTTTAAATAAAAATATCGAGTAATATAAGTATTTTAAAGTTATTGAACTTTACAATAACTTTTTCCCACTACAAAAGTAAAATACAAACAAATAACAATTGAATTGACGAAATATGAAAAATAAATAAAATAAAGTGGACTGAGAATTCTTATCTGTTTTCATTTAAGTAATTATTGAATAAGAGTTTTTATTTTTTTGAAGTACTAGAAATGTGAAAGGTAGGAGACTTGCACACTGTATTTCGCATACTTTCGGGACTTCATCTGCAAAAGTATAAATTTCTAATTTTTAAAATCACGGAATATTTGCTTCAGTTTTTTAATTAACGGTCTCTCATTTTGAAGTCAATAAGCCGAGCTGGAACTAAAGCCGAAACACAACAAGAGCCGCCGCCCAAAATCTGTCGGTGGACCAACTCCAGTCCAGCTAGTGATAGCTCACACAAGCGCCACTCCACGCACCCCACCCACTCCTGGGTATCTCACGCTCACATGTTATACATACATACACACACAGTACACACATCAGATTCCTTGTCTCTCTCTCTCTCTCTCTCTCTCTCTGAAGAGGCTTTTTATCTTACTCGCTTATCTCCTACGAAACTCCCTCTGAATTTGCATTTCCACAATTGGATTTTTGGAGAGAGGAAATGCAGCATCCCCTTCACTCTTTCCCCCACTTTCTCTCTCTACATTAATTGCGGCACCAACATTCATGCAGAGGATAATTTTGTGTTCTTCCAGCGAATCTAGAAAAGGTTTCATCAATTTCCCATTTCTGCTAGATCTTATTCCTCTTAACGCGCAGTATAGTTGATTATATATAGATTTGGTCAAATAAACGATTGGCATCTTTGGCCGAATATACTGCGTTGATTGTTGGTATTTATCTCTAGTTTTCATTTCGGAAGGTGTTGATCTAGTCTTACTTGAAGAGTCTTAGTGCGATTTCGTTTTTCTATCTTTTTAGATTTGATTTCTGATAGTGTGAATCTAGTGAAGGCAGCATTTTTTTTTTTTTTTTTTAAATTTAGCTTCATTCACTCTTAATTCGTTTCCACTTACTTAAATTGAGGCTCTGCACTCCAATTCATATGATTTACCAACACGTGATTTACATATCACTTCGATTAGAGTTCAGATTATTGGTATTTCTACTATTAGGGATTGATCTGTGCGAAGTGTCCTTTTCTTAAGTTCTATTATTATCCGTACTGTAGTTTTTTATTGGACTTAATTTTACCGTGGTTGACTTGTGCATTCAATAGGAAGCTGCTGCTCTTAGCGCTTGTTTGTTTTGGGGAGTCAGATTCGAAGTGAAGTCTCAAGATCACAGCAAAGATGGCGGCAACACTGGCTTGGAGATTTTCTCCCACTAATAGCAACACTAATGACTTGGTAAATTCTTTGATTAAGCGTAAGAAAAATGTATACAGAAGCAAATCTTGGAGATCTATTTAAATCGAGAATTGAGGGAGTCATAATTGTGCTTTTGTAAATCTAAGTTGGATTGTATCCATTGATTGTAGTTTATGTTTGACAGTTTTGAATTTGTTTTCTCATGTGTGCCTCTGTATTCCACCTCCTGCCTGTGTCTCCTAATATTCTCTCTGACCATGAATTTATCTTATTGTCTTCGGCTGCAGGAAAGAAACGGGGATGCTAAACCTCGTGATTTGGAGCCTTTAACTCCCCATACACTTCCCAAAGCAAATTCAAGGTCTGTTGCAGACTAGCACCCTACTACTGATATTTTGTTTTGCTAAGCTTTTAGCTACATATAATATAATCACATGCAGTAAGTTTTGTTTCCACTTTTTTTTAATATTCATTTGAGGAGAATATCTCAAGACCCACTGTTATTGTCTGTTACTACCACATGTCATCCTGGTACTTGCTCCTGATATGGGGCATGGTTTGCCTTTCTGACAAAAAAAGGCTACATTCTGAGACAATTTGGTAATTATGTGGAATTGCAGCTTAATTAGACTCCACATAGACAAGAAAGGCATTGACATATAGTTCATGGTTATTACATTGCCCCTGTTTGAGCCTCATTTTTTAAGAATAGATTTTGTAAAAAGAGAATTTTTTTTTATTTTTATTTTTTTGGGAGAATGCAGGGTTAAAAAGTGTGGAAAGTTTTGAGTTTACATGCAAAATTATTTTATTGAGAGAATGTGTGGTCGAAAGTGAATTTTAAAGAATGGGGCTCAAACCAGGACATTGTTTCCTTTCTTTGAAGCAGTAATCTTAACTTGGCACTAACTCTATATCTTGCACGATGGAAATTTTTATCTAATTATTAATCCACCTTATTATTCAAGATTTTGATAGGTAAGTAAGCTTCAACTGAGAGTAAATGCAAGTGTCAACTGTGCTAAATGGGAGCTTAATCAAGTAGATATAATTAAAAAATATCTACTCTTCATCTCTATATGTTCTTCAGGGCCTTTTACTGTTCTTTTTTGCATTAATCATTTAGATGTTAAAATTCTGAATTTTATCCTGCTTTCAACTTACTAATTCCGTGGTGATTTCAGCTTTAAACATAATCTATCTCAACAACCATCATATTACCCTTTTTTTCACTGATGAAAAAAAATACTAATATCAGTCAACTATGCTTTGCAAAGGCTTTTAAAAAATACCCGTGCTTTACAGTTTTGCTTATATCACGGAGTAAAGTTTGGTTAACTTTGATTATAATCAAAACCTAAGAAATTTATGTTCCTTCTCGACCTGCAGAGATCGTAGTAGTATGGAGGACCCAGATGGGACATTAGCAAGTGTTGCCCAGTGCATTGAGCAATTGCGGCAGAATTCCTCATCTACCCAAGAAAAAGAAAATTCCTTGGTGCAATTGCTTGAGCTTATTAATACACGTGAGAATGCTTTTAGTGCAGTTGGATCACATTCTCAAGCAGTTCCAGTGCTCGTATCTCTTCTTCGGTCTGGAATACTTGGGATAAAGTTGCAGGCTGCTAGTGTTTTAGGTTCTCTGTGCAAAGAGAATGAGTTACGGCTCAAAGTATTGCTTGGGGGTTGTATTCCGCCATTGCTTGGCCTTCTCAAGTCAAATTCAGCAGAAGGTCAAATTGCAGCAGCAAAGACCATATATGCTGTTTCTCAAGGTGGTGCTAAGGATCATGTTGGCTCAAAAATTTTTTCGACAGAGGGAGTTGTTCCTGTATTGTGGGAACAACTAGAGAAGGGACTCAATGCTAGAAATGTAGTTGATGAATTGTTAACGGGAGCTTTACGGAATCTTTCTAGCAGCACTGAAGGGTTTTGGGCTGCTACAATACAAGCTGGGGGAGTTGATACACTTGTGAAATTGCTTACTACTGGACAGTCAAGTACTCAAGCAAATGTATGCTTTCTCTTGGCATGCATGATGATGGAGGATGCATCTGTTTGTACTAAAGTCATGTCTGCGGATGCTACAAAACAGCTCCTTAAGCTGCTTGGATCTGGCAACGAAGCTTCTGTTAGAGCAGAAGCTGCAGCTGCTCTGAAATCTCTCTCTGCCCAGTGCAAAGAAGCCAGGCGGGATATTGCTAATTGCAATGGTATACCTGTTCTAATAAATGCTACAATTGCTCCTTCAAAAGAATTCATGCAGGGGGAGTATGCCCAAGCTTTGCAAGAGAATGCTATGTGTGCTCTTGCAAACATATCTGGTGGTTTGTCATATGTCATCTCAAGTCTTGGTCAAAGCCTTGAATCATGTACATCACCAGCACAAGTGGCTGACACGTTAGGAGCGTTGGCTTCAGCTCTGATGATATATGATAGCAAAGCAGAATATTCTAGGGCATCGGATCCAACGGATGTGGAAAAGACACTGGTTAAGCAGTTCAAATCCCGGTTACCATTTCTGGTGCAGGAGCGTACAATAGAAGCCCTTGCCAGTTTATATGGGAATTCTATACTCGCAGGCAAACTTGCCAATTCTGATGCAAAACGTCTGCTTGTTGGTTTGATCACAATGGCAACCAACGAAGTTCAGGATGAGTTGATAAGATCTCTTCTCATTCTCTGCAACAACCAAGGTAGTTTATGGCAAGCCCTTCAAGGACGTGAGGGGATTCAGCTTTTGATATCCCTTCTTGGTCTTTCATCAGAGCAGCAGCAGGAGTGTGCTGTTGCATTACTTTGCCTCCTGTCCAATGATAATGATGAAAGTAAATGGGCTATTACGGCTGCTGGTGGCATACCCCCTCTTGTTCAAATTCTGGAGACGGGGTCTGCAAAAGCAAAAGAAGACTCTGCAACGATCCTTGGGAACCTCTGTAATCATAGTGAAGATATAAGGGCGTGTGTTGAAAGTGCTGATGCTGTCCCTGCTTTGTTATGGCTGCTGAAGAATGGAAGCCCCAATGGAAAGGAGATTGCTTCTAAGACCTTAAACCATTTAATTCACAAGTCAGATACTGCAACAATCAGCCAGCTCACTGCATTGTTAACTAGCGATCTACCTGAATCTAAAGTTTACGTGTTAGATGCATTAAAAAGTTTACTCTCTGTGGCCCCTCTGAGTGATATGCTACGTGAAGGTAGTGCAGCAAATGATGCGATTGAAACGATGATAAAAATTTTAAGCTTTACCAAGGAAGAAACTCAGGCAAAATCTGCTTTAGTGCTTGCTGGAATCTTCGAACTCAGGAAGGACTTGCGAGAAACTAGCATTGCTCTTAAGGCTCTTTGGTCAGTCGTGAAACTTTTACATGTTGAATCTGAGAACATTCTAGTAGAATCTTCCCGTTGCCTTGCTGCAATATTTCTCTCAGTTAAAGAGAACCGCGATGTGGCAGCTGTTGCCAAAGACGCATTGCCTCTGCTGTTGGTGCTTGCTAACTCTCCCATATTGTTAGTTGCAGAGCAGGCAGTTTGTGCTTTGGCTAATCTTCTTTTGGATGGTGAAGCCTCTGAGAAAGCTATTTCTGAAGAAATTGTTTTGTCTGCCACTAGAGTTTTACATGAGGGCACAAATGTTGGAAGGACTCATGCTGCAGCTGCTATTGCTCGGCTTCTCCAGTCTCGCCAAATTGATTCTGCTTTAACTGACTGTGTAAACCGTGCTGGGACTGTGCTAGCATTGGTTTCTTTCCTTGAAGCCGCTGATGGTGGATCTGTTGCTACTTCAGAGGCATTAGATGCATTGGCTTTCCTCTCAAGATCTTTTGAAGCTAGTGAGCATGTGAAACCTGCTTGGGCAGTTCTTGCTGAATTCCCCAATAGCATAACCCCAATAGTTTCATGCATCGCTGATGCCCCGCCATTGTTACAGGATAAGGCTATAGAAATATTGTCCAGACTATGCCGGGCTCAGCGTATTTTTCTTGGGAATGCAGTTGCCTGTGCATCTGGATGCATTTCATCCGTTGCGAGAAGGGTAATCAGTTCACTAAATGCTAGGGTGAAAATTGGAGGAACTGCACTTCTTGTGTGTGCCGCAAAAGTGAATCATCAAAGGGTAGTAGAAGATTTAAATGAGTCAAACTCATGTGCTCCACTCATTCATTCTCTTGTTGGAATGCTGACCTCTGTGGAGACTTCTAAATATGGAGATCAGGCTGATAAAGATACTGTAAGCATCTGTAGAATCGCTGAAGAAGTTAGTGAAAGTGACTTAGAGAGAAGTACTTCAGTCATCTATGGTGCCAATATAGCTATATGGCTTCTTTCTGCTCTTGCTAGTCGTGATGACAAAAGTAAAGCTGGGATCATGGAAGCTGGAGCAATTGAAGTCCTTACGGAGAAAATATCTCAATCTTTTCTTCAGTATGCACAGGTATTTAGTTTTGTCTGCAATTTAAACAAAATGCTCGTATTCGATCCCCAGTGCATCTACCCATGAGGAAAATTCT